CCTCCTTAAGTAAAGAAAAAAAACAAGGAGGAACCTTATTGCTAATAAGATCATCCCAAAAGAAATCTAAAGAGCAAGCAAGGTTAGCACAAAAATCCGCTAACTTATTGCTATTTCTATGGACAAAATGAAAAATCACCTGATTAAACTCCGAAAGAAAAGAGAAGTCCCAATTGCAATTTCCTTCTTCTCCAGTAGGTTGCTTATTAAAGATTTTTCGGACAAAATCAATAATATTTTTATTATCACCCTCTATGATAATACCTTTGTAGTCATATCTCCATTCCATAATGAAAGATTTAATAGACAAAATTGCTTGCATCTCCATTTGAGCTGAATCCCAATGCTTATTTTCCAAACCAAATGCACATAGAAATCTCCTTTTATGATCTCGGAAGATTCCACCAATTCCTGCATTATAATTGCTCTTGATCGATGCATCTATGTTTAATTTAATCCATTCAGGAGGAGGAGGAAATCATTGATTGGACAGCTATGAAAGCTGGTTGGTTTCCCAGTAATCAGAATTTCTATTGAATGATGCTTCAGCCATACTCAAAGCATTGGCTGCTATAGAAGTGGTGCTATCTTCCTTACCATTATGAACAAACATATTCCTATTAATCCAATTTAAAAATACTGCAGAACAGTATATGTTCCCAATAAAAGGATCAGTATTAGCCATTATTTTTAAAGTTAAATAACAACTTTGAAAAGAATTGAAAACATGAATTGAAAATACCCAACTTCTAATGACATTGAGAATATTTTCTAGCTTCTTGCAATTCACCGTGATATGTAACTCATTTTCTATGGCATTGCAACCTCTCGGACAATCTTCATTATTGGACAGTTTTCTATATTTCAAAAAGGCTTTAGTAGGAATTGAATTAATTCCAAGTCTCCACCAAAATAAATTCACCCGTGGTCTAAGCTTAAGTTTTTTCCTCCATCTCCAGTTTTGATCTTCATCTCTATCCATATCAGATTCCATAGATATTAATGATGAGATTGATTTCCCAGAAAATTTGTATTTAAGTTCCAGCTGATCATCTTCTATTTCAGAAAAAATTTGAACCTTTTTTATGATCTCAATCAAGTTAGGACCAAAGAATAACTTCAGTTTATTAGCATCCCATTCACCTTTATTGATAAGGAAATCTAGATTTTGAAAATTCGGTTCCATGTTATTGACAAAGGTTGGCCATCTAGATATGGATTTGTCATAAATCCAAACATCATGCATTATGTTAATATTATTTCCTGTAGACACCTTCCATCTTAAAATATCTTTAAGAGCTTTATAGCCATGGTATATAATTCTGATTGATGGTGAACTTTGCTATTTAATCTAAAAATCCCAAATTTTATTACCATATTTGACTTTCAAAATTCTGTAGAGTTTAGAATTAGAACCAGATATAAGCTTCCATGCAAATTTTTCCCGAAGTGGACCAGACTTGGATGCCATAGATTGAATACCTTGTCCTCCCATTTTAATAGGTTTGCAAAGAACATCCCATGATACATAGTGTAATCCTTTACTACCATCAGATTTATTCCACAAAAAGTCCCTACTCATTCTATCCAATTCCTTTAGTATTCCCAAAGGTACTAAAGAATGAGAAATGTGATATATTGGTAAAGAAGATAAAACTGATTTGAGTAGTAAAATTTTTCCAGTTAATGAAATGTACCGATTACCCCAAACATTCAGATGTTTATTTTCTTTGTCCACCAAATGAATGAAATTAGTCCGGGAAGCTCTTTTCAATTCCATATTGATTCCAAGGTATTTGAGACTTTTTACAACCTTGAAATTCAAAATTTTAGCCAATCTCCTACCTCTGCTTTTGTGAACCGAATTCCCCAATAAAATAGAGGATTTAAGAACATTGATCATTTGCCCAGTCCAATTACTGTATTGTTCCAAAATCTTTTTAGCTACCTTCACCCTTTTTATATTGGCTTCCAAAAACAGTAATATGTCATCCGCATACAAAAGAAGGGTAATTTTTTTTGCATTAGGAGCTACTTTGATACCCAAATCCTTCCCATTGTGCATAACAGCGTCTGAGAGAAGTTGAGAACATAATATGAAAAGAAATGGAGATAGGGGGCAACCTTGTCTGAACCCTCTTTCAGCTTTGATCCAATCATTGTTGTTACCATTAATTATAATAGAAAAGTTGGAACCAGTAACACATTGAATAAGATAATTAGCAAATTTATCAAGGAAACCCAAATTCTTCAAGACTTGGCTAAGTGTAGACCACCCCATACTATCATAAGCCTGCTCCATGTCTATTTTAATAGCCATAAGTCCTTTTTTAGATTTAGAAAATCTAAATTTGTTACAAACTTCTTATGCTAATAAAATATGTTCTGAACCAGTTCTGCCTTTAATAAAAGCAGCTTGGTCTTTGGAAATAAGTTTAAGAATAAGACCAATCATCCTGTTTAATAGCATCTTTGCTACCAACTTGTAGAATGATAAAGAAAGACTTATTGGTCTAAAGTTGGAAGGCAAAATTGGGTTATCAGTTTTTGGTATGAGGACTACCAAAGTTTCTTTCCAACTAGGACTCATATTTCCTTGTTCAAAAAAAGAGCCAATAGCTTTCCATACATCTTCTTTGATAATTAACCAAAATTTTTTATAAAAGAGTAAGATATTCCATCTATACCTGGAGAGATGTTGGAATCAAGGTGTTTAACCACTTCTTCTAATTTTTCTTCCTTGAATTCTTCAGCCAGAATTTGTTTATCCGCTTCATTCAAAACGTTGAAAGGTTTTGGCCAACCTGACAACAAGCAATCCTTCTCCTCCCATTTGTTTTTGAAAAAATCATAAAAGATTTTTTCAATTTGACTTTGTTCTTCAGTAACAATTCCTTCTTTATCTTTAATTTGATGAATCCAGTTGGAGTTCTGCCTTCAAGTTGCATAAAGATGGAAAAATTTAGAGTTAGAATCACCTTCTACCAACCATTTTGTCTTAGCTCTTTGCCTCCACCATGTGTTAAGCCGAGATAAAGTAATATTCAGCTCATGAATTTTAGACTTCAGCAATTGTAACTTATTATTGGACAGACCTCCAGCTTCTGCTTCTTCAAATTGCAAATCTAAAATTTCTTTTAACCGATTTTCCTTTAATGACATCAAATCCTGATGTTTTGATTTACTCCAGTAATAAAGAGCCTTTAAAACTCTTTTAAATTTCTTGTTCAAAGCATTCAAAGGATCTCCATTCATATTTTTTTACAAGAGCTATAAACAATTCCAATTGAAGCAGCATATGAAGACTATACTTCTTCATATCTAATCTTTGTATTTTTCTGATTTACTGGATTCATCAGATTTAATAAAATGGGGCAATGATCGGATGCTAATCTTGGTAGGTGTTTAATAACATGATTTTGAATTGTTTGTAAGGCTGTAGAATTCAAAATACATCTATCCAATCTTTCCATGATTCTAGCTCCTCCTATCTTGTTATTACACCAAGTATACCTTGGTCAAATGAATTTCAATTCGTGTAGATCACAAGAGCTAATAAAATTTCTCATATCTTGAACTCCTTGAGAGAATTTAAATTTTTTTTCTCCTAGCTTCTCTTCTTGAGCTAGAATACAGTTGAAATCTTCACCTATGATAATTGGCAATTCTGAATTGGAAATGTCTTCAAGAGTTTTCCAAAGGCTCCTACTTTTGTATAAATCATTACTTCCATAGATAGAAGCAATGAGCCAAACACATTTATTGAAGATATTTAAATCTCCCACTATAGCTTGAGATGAGGTCACCAAGACTGAAAAGGAAGCAAGATCCTTCCTCCAAAAAACTGTAAGTCCTCCTGAAAGTCCTTCTACAGGAATTAAATAATAATCCCATATGTTGCCAATGAACTTGTCACAATCTTTCCTATCAAAGGAAGAAATCTTCGTTTTTGAAAGCCCAACAAAAATCAAATCATTCTTCTTAATGCATTCCTTCAAATAATGGGAGGCTTCTTTTTTCCTAGCCCCCCTACAGTTCCAAAAGATTATTGAAGTCATATTTGATAAGAATAGGTATTGCTCCCTTTCCTACCTTTAACAAGACCTCCTCCTTTTCTCCCATGAGAAATAATATTATCCTTTCCCAAGGATTTCAGCTCTTTTCGTAATTTGAAATCTGATTTATGATGGGGAATACTTGAGTTTGCTAGTAATCCCTCAGGATTTACCAGAGTTCGCAAGCAACCCATCCCATTGCTGTCATTTGAATGAGGATCATTCTTCTCTTGGAATTCAACTTGAAGATTGTCATTGGAATTATCTTCATCTTCATTGACTTCTTTAGCTATTTCAATTCTATCAGTTGTCAAAACTTCCTTAGAACTAACAGTAACCTTCTCATCTTCCTTAAGAGGATTATTTTTAGTAGTTTCTGCAATACATTCTTCACCACTGGGCTCATCAAGTTCATTGTTCTGTATTTCCTCTTCAAGTATACTGAAGCTGTTTTCCAACAGAAGTCCAGATCTTTTATTTTCCTTGAAATCTATGGCTTTATTGATGGAATTTGAAACAAAATTTTGAACTACTTCTGTTTCAATTATCTCAGCATCTTCTGGAATAGATTTTGTTTGAGGATGAACATTTGAAATTCCAGATTTCTGCTTATAAAAACTTTTTCCGACAGTTCTATTTTTCTTGAATTTGACCTGTATCCAAGGTCCTAATTCATCTTGATTTTTGGAAATACCTCCTTGTTCCATCATCTTCCCATTAACATTTGATACTGAAGCTACTGTTTTGGAGGAAGCAGTATTCATCAAAGAGCAGTTGATTTTTAAATGGCCAAGTTTACCACAATGGTAGCAAAGAGAAGATATCTTCTCATATTCTACCTTTTGAAAGGATCTACCATGTAATCCTTCTATCCAAATTCCTTTAGGAATTGTTTTGTCCAGATCCATGCGAACACATACCCGGGCATACTCTCTCTTCCCCCATTTAAAAGAATTCCCATCTAGATATATTGGCGTTCCTATCTTGGAAGCTATTCGGCAGATATATTGGCGTTCCTATCTTGGAAGCTATTCGGCAGATGTTCTGTTCATCCCAGCAGTGCAATGGTAAACATGGCAATCGAATCCATATAGGAGCTGTAAGTCCTTTAAGGGATTCGAGAGAAAAGTTGGGGGACCATTTATCTAGTCTAATAATATTTCCTCCAATGAACCAAGGACCCCCCTCCAATACTTCTTCAACTACTTCCGGTTTAGAAAAGGAACATAGAATCCAGTCAAGTCCCAAAGTTATAAGATGGAAATTTCCAACTCTAGCCCATTGTCTCCTTAGTTCTCTACTACAAACTGGAAATGGGATATTATTACACAAAACTTTGATCACCAGGGAATTCCTGAGAATTTGAGAATTAACATTTTCTAATTCGGAATTCATAACCATTGCAATCCCGTCATCAGTAACAGGAGTCGAATCCATGTCATGATTAATCTTTATGTGTTGAGTCTTCTTCCACGCATTAACAGAAATTACTTTAGAAACATTCTCAGAAATCTTTGCATCTGAATCTCTTAAACCAGCTCCATCTATTCCAGATTGAGATACAGGATTAATTGAAAAATTAGAGCAAGGAATAGTAGGTAGCTTATCCTTTGATTGATATTTATTATTAACATTATTCGAAATGTTCGCATTTATCGCTGGCCATAGGTCAGAGATTGCATTTGGACATCCAAATTTGTTTACATAAATGTTCAAATCAGAAGAAGAAGCTTCCGACTCCTTCTGTTTCAAGCTTGATCGTGATTTTCCAAACAATGGTGTAACACAATCTGAATTAGCCAAAATGTTTTTTCCCTTACCTTTAACGTATTCCACCGTTTTCTTCATAGGAACATCGCTAACCTCTTTGATAACGAGAGGTTTAGAAATGGTTCTAGTTTGAACCTTTCCTGCTTCTAATCGGTGAAACAACCAATGCTGATCCCTCCTTGTTCTTGATTCGTCTATTTGATTCTTCCGTTGACTTAAGCCCGTCGACAGGAGGTCGACGGTCTTCTCTAGTCATCGCCTATCTCCGGCGATGAAGCGTTGCAGAAAAATCAGAAATTGAAAAGTTTGAAATTCCGTCTTTTGGTGGAAGTTCATCAAAATCTTTATTTGATTGAAAAATTTTTCTGAAGAAATGTTAATAATCTTGAAAGGAATAAGATAAGCACAAATTTACAAACAAAATATTTAATTAGTAATAAAATGAAAGATGATCATGATATAACAAAAACATGTGAAATGGTTTGTATACTCTATTGATGTTAATTCATATATAGACCGATGACTTAAAATCTTGGTTGTGTCTATCATTACACAAAAAAGCTTTATGAACTGTTTGGTTAGATTACTTGAGGGTGTAAAGTATTCCAAATGTAAGGGTCTTATAAATTTAGGTGTTTGGTTGGAATACAAAATGAGGGAAAGTATAGTAAATATAATGTAAAGTGAAGTAGTTCATTTTTAGTGTAATGCAAACTCCTTTGATTTTGTGTAAAAACTATTTACACCACAAGCTTGCTTTACCTCTACCCACCATCGGTCGTCGCTCTCAGCCACTTGATTGCCCCAGCTGGCCACCATCGCCACCGGACACTACTTCTGCCGGCCACCCCCTCAGCAAGCCTCCGCTGCTGTCGCCGGCCGCCCTCTTCCGCCCGCCACTGTCAACCACCATCATCGCTGCATGCCATCGCAATCGAAGTAACCATTTAGGATTTTACTCTACATTCTTTACTTCTAACCAAACAAAAAAAGTATTCACTTGCATTTACATGCATTAATCTTATAGGTGATAGTGGGTCTCAGAATTGATGTTAATAATGGGTATAGATGCTATCGTCGACAATGGAAAACAACCTTATTAGCGATAAAGAGCATCATCATTATTGATGATGAAGGTCATTATCTTTGTATGTGATGAAATGCATTAATATTTTTGGTGATTGCAAGGATAATTCTTGATGTTTATGGAAGATACAATCTTGTTGTTTAACAATGGGTGTCAATGTTGATGGTGATGGTAGAAATCAGTATTGGTGTTGATAGTGGACATAAGTGAAGGTTGCTGATCAAAATCTTTGAGATTAATGCTATGATCTTCCTTGAAAATGAGGGCATTTGAAAAATGGGATCTAAGGAGAGGAAGTTTGAAGTTAAAGCTCTTGTTTTTTTTTTTATATATATAAATAAGAGATTAAATGTTGTCAATTGAATGGATTAAATCCTAGGAAGGGGTGTCCAAAGATTTCTAGCTTTGATTATAAAATAATGGTAATTATCTTTATTTGGATGAATTAGAATTGAGAAGATGCAACTTAAATTTGTAATCCCTATTGCAAAGCTAAAATCTTACTTTAAAAATGGGGCTAACTATGAGACCTCAAGGATCAAAGTTCTGTTTAGACTAGTTGACCAGGGTTCACTATAGGAAAATAACGAATCACCAATGAAATTTTAGCAAACCAAACATCAAAATTTCCCAATGAAAAAATTTCACAGGTATTTTTGTGGTGATTAGTTGCCACATCATTGTTTTGTCAGAATTAATCATCAAAGAATTTACTTGATTTTTGGCAGATTATTTCACTAAAAAATTCATCGAAAAAGATCCTATTTTGCCCCAAACCTTCTTCTTTCTTCCTTTTCACATTCTTCCTTCCAAAAATGAAGGTTTTGCCTACTTCGCCCCTTGTTGCCATTCCAAGTGGGTTTTTTGCTAATTTTTTCTTATTTACTTAAGATTTAAGAGGTCAAACTTATTCTCTTTGCACATTTCTTTTTTAGAGGAAATTTGAACCATTAGAACACATGATATTTGACCCCCATACATAAGTATGCACTAAATCTAGTCTTTTGGAACCATACTCTCTTTAATGTTTAAAAAATAAGAAGAATTTATTTTCTAGAATATAGTCTTCACAATAGGTGGATTCAGTATATTTCGATCTTAGAATTTTATGGAGTGAATAATCATTGAGTTTTTCTTGATTATGTGGGTTACCTTCCGATGCTATAGAACTGAGTTTACCTCTACATAGGTGGCAACCTTTATTGTTCTTATATTGATATTTTGTTGGGGAATGTCCTCAATTCCTTAAGCAAACATAAAGGATTTAAATGCTGATCATTTTTATAAACTTAGCCAATCGATAAATATTTTGTTTGTCTTAAAGATGTGAAATGAAATTTTAGTATATACATATTTTTATTTCATAATTATAAATACAATGCATTTCTATATAATCAAATAAATAGTAAATGAGAACAAATTTAAAAATTGGTCTTAATATTACATGTGGTATTCACAGAGTTTAACTATCTCAAGATTAATATAAACTTATTAATGTTAATGGTTATTGTAGAGACTTGGCATTATATAAATTGTATATTAAAGGACTTTTTATGGTTGTTTATGTACACTTTCATGCTGACTATTACAATGATCATATTGAGGATGTTCAATGTGACAATTATATTTAAGGGATATGAGTTATCAAGTCTCAAACATTATAATCAATTGTCCACATTACTCAACCTTACAATGCTAAAAATAACTTTAATGGTGGATATTCGAGCTCTTGTTGTAGTAGCTCACGATAATAATATACTTTTCTATAATTATTTAATTTTTAGGGTTATTAATTCAAGGTCCATATGAATATTCGAGAGGAGAGGTGTTGGATATATAATAGAATATTAGTGGGATGAAAAGCACTTATAGATAGATTTATTGAGGGAGTTAAATATTTTATTCTCATGTCATGTCAACTACGTTTGTTTAAGTCAGATGGAATGTTCAAATGTCCATGCTCGAAGCACAAAAATTAAGCTTATCTTAAACCCACTGAGGTTAAGCTTGATTTATATCATTGTTGATTTGTTTGAGGATATTAGTTTTGGACCACACATGGGGAGTATAAGCCACATACAAATACTCATTGTGGTCCCTCCATAGCATCAAGAATAGTAGAGGAAGATCTAATTAATAGAATAAATGAAGAATTTAGTTTTGATATAGTGGGTCTTAATTTTAGAGGACCCATGGAAGAGTCACCTAACATAGAAACACTAAAATTATATGAATTACTATGCTCAAAAACTAATTTGAGATTGGTTACACCACTCATTATAAGTTATCAGTTGCTTCTAAGATGCTTAGCATAAAAAATGATTACAATATTCCTCAAGAGTGCTTCATCGACCTGCTTAACTAAATAAATCCTATATATAATTTAATTCTCATAGACTTGTATCAACCAAAGAAGTTATTATCAAAGTTTGGTCTCCCTATTATAAAAATTGATTTTTATATGAACGGTTTTATATTGTACTACAAGGATGATGTAACAAAAAGTTAGCTGTTGTACATGTAGTGCATCTAGATACAAACCCAAATTTGAAAGGAATGAGAAAAAGAATGATGTTCCTTATTTTAGTCGTTTTTTGCCAATTATTCACAGACTTTAGTGGCTATATTCATCAATGAGCTTCACATGTCATATGAGATGACATAAGGAGAAGTTAGCTTACTGTCTTGTTTCTCATCCATCAGATGCTGAAGCATGAAAACTCTTCAATCTAGCACATCTTTCATTTGTTGGTGAGTCACATAATATAAGATTGGGATTATGTACTAATGGCATCACTCAATACTGTCAAGCAGCTTTACTATACTCTTATTGGCTTGTTATGTTAAAGTTATACAACCTTCCACAATAGATGAGCATGACTTCCTCATATATATATATATTCAAAAGTAAATTAATATTTTTGTATAACCTTTAATGGATGACCTTATGTTATATATTATTGGAAGAAGGAAATGATATGGTTGTGGGGCTAGCTGCTATAGAGGATTAGCCTCTATATATAGAGACCTAGGGCGATACTTAAGTTCATATTATTAGTTAATTTTATAATTTGATATGTTAAATAAATGATAAAGATTATCTAAGATACATTATTATGTGCAGGTTTAATCTTACAAGGTAGCTTACTCATAAGATTCAAGACATCATAAGGATTAAATATAAAGCTCCATACTTATCTTGGAAGAAAATTCTAAAGAAGGTTAGAGATATGTGGTTTAGGAACTTTCACATAAATAATTATGATATTTTAAATAATTTTTTACTAGTATCTTTTATTATGATAATGTTTAATAGAAATACTTCAAATGGTTTCCTAAGCATAATGTGACAATTAAAACTAATTTTAAAAAGAGAGGCTCTACTCTACTTAGGGTTATGCTCACTGACATTAGAAAGTTTGAAAAGTGCCCATTATTCCTTGGAGAGGGTATATGGAGTGATCTAACCAAAGCTTGGGCCGCCCTTGAGTTTACTAAGAAGAGAGATTAGAACAAAAAAATAGAACATTTGATTGTGGGCGTGTAACAACCCAAAGATATAAAAAGTATTCTAAAATAAAAAATATAAAAATCTAAAACTTTTCTATGATGTGGAGCGTAGTAGCGCTATGATAAGTAGCCTTGCGACACTATGCATGAGAGCATAGTGATGCTAGAAAATACCAACATAACACTTGTGTTTCTATTCAATAGTAACTATGAAATCGACATGCAGCACTATGGTCTTGGTCTAAATGTAGTGGTGCTAGAACACTAATAATATTTTTATATATATTAAATTCTATCCACTGCCTCTCCCTCACTCATTTGCCTAGTTTGCTTGGGAAGGCAAGAGGAAAGAGAGGAAAAGGGAGTGAAAGAGGAGAAAAATACCCAAGAAAGATCTATACCTATAACATGCAATGAGTTTACAATCTTAGTAAACCTACTGTACAGGTCAGAAATAGTCTCATCATGTTTCATGCAAAAGAGTTCGTACTCACGTAATAGTAGATTCAGATGGGACTGCTTCACTTCATTTGTACCTTCATAAATAATATAAAGCCTATCCAATATCTTCTTACCAATAATGCAAGTAGAAACACACATGGAATCTCTAGATTTTAAAGCACAAAAAAAAAAGTATATCACATGTAGTTGAGTAAGAT